TTGAATGCCTCCCAAATGTAAGTCCACTGGCTTTCTATAATCAAGCTTATATGTATAAATGTTATATACAGAATAGTATTCATATATGTCCATTAACCGTATGGTTCTTATACGTTCACTGCTTTAGTTGTGTGGGTGTGACAATATTAAATGTAGCTGGATATCTCCCCTTTCTTGGCATCCGAAGAGAGCTATTTTGCAGACTTTAACCAATGGGCTGATGAACTATCTTGAAAGGTTTATTGCCAAGCGTTATAAATTTACTAAAGAGATTTGGAAGGGAGGAGCAGATAACTGGCCTGTGATTGAACCAGATTCTAAGCTGAGCAAGAAAGAAAAAATACAGGGCAAGGTTCATCAGAAAAGGACAAAAAATGTAAAAGGTGATAAACCTTTCTTCTCAAAAGCGGACAAAGGGAAAAGGTAAAGTTGGTGAAGATGCAAGCCCACATTCTAGTGAAGGTGGTTTGGATGTTAAAAGAATCTTAGAACTCGTTGATAAGAAGAATGAAGCACACTGGGCTGAGCTGAAGGAAATGTGGTCCCTCGAGAAAAAAATCATGAAGGATGAGCTGGTGGATGAGATAATTAGTATCCTGCGCGATAGAGGAAAGTATCCCTGTCCAAAATGCACTGATAAATCTAATTCTCCTGTAAGGGATAATAGTTGTAATTCGAAGACAAAGTCAGGGAATGTCCACTCGGGAAGCAGTACACCATAAGAACAAACTCCTTCAAAGGACAAGAAGGATGATGTGTGGCATGATTACCCACTTGTTTTAGGTGTTATAGACCAGTTGAATCTGAGTATCGTAGACGATGATGGACAAAAAGAGAAGGAAAATGTTGATCAAGTTTGTTTATTAGTATGTTAACAACATTTGCTTTTAGTTAATTATGCGCCATGACTAATCCAAGAGTTGGTCTATGGTTTGTTTGTTATAGAGTTGTGGAACACAGTTGGCAGAGGAGACAATAGGTGAGGCGTCCAATAGTCATGCAAAAAATGCACTTCGTTTTGCCAACCTTCGTTTTGACAATAGCGTTGTCATTCGGTAGAGGTGGACTTCCAATCGCCATCCATGTTTCGTCCCCAACAGCACAACCACTAGATCCACCATATGTCTCTTTTATGTGAAAACATAAAGATTCATCATGACGCAGTGTGAGGTACATGTTGAGCCCACTGTTGCCTGCTCTCTTTTTTTAAACTTATCTAGCCCACTCTCGCACTCAATAGCAACAGGAGGCATGCGCGCCTGCGTGAAAATAGTATCTTCACCCTCGCTCCAAAACGAGAGAAATGGTTGCTCTTCGTCAACATTGATTCGAAAGACATTCACAACTTTAGTTTTTAGGTCAATGAACGAATCTTCCAGACGGATGTCCACGCATTTAGCGAATATGTCCTTCAAAACCTTAAAATGCCAATTACCATTGTCCAAACACTCCCACTCACCAACAATAATCAACACTAACTCAGACATCATTCACACTGTTCAACTACATGCATTTAAATCTGCAATAACTCAGAGGAGTTAGAGACGGAAAATTAAAGATTAAAATTTAAAAGACAAAAGGTGTACTCCTTTTCATTACATTTACTTTATCTGTATGACATGCTTGACTGTAAAGAGTAAAAAAATCCACAACGATCTAAAAAAAGTAGAACACTTTGATAGATAGAAGCCAAACTTTTCGTTATAGGTAACCAATCTCTGAGATCTAGATTAGCCAATAATATATGGCACAATATACTCAAATTTGTTTTATCACAATTTGAAGTCCGTCATTAATGCTCCGAATATAAAACTCCCACCAAAACAAGATTCTTTCGATGGATGTCCTTTCGCCCACGAATGCCCTATTTTTGTACTAAACCAAAAAACACTAAAAGGTATTAATGTCTTTTCAATAATATTTTAATTGTTTCATTAAAAGACTAAAACTTTGAAGGAAACTTATCTAATTCGTTCCCTGGTTACATGCTTGTTACCCAATCTCATCATTGCTCCTAATTCATTTGCTTGTTAGCCATGTCAATATTCAGTAATCCAGCTACATCAGAAGAATCAATCAATGACTACGGATGGCCATTTTGGACTCAGCCACAAATGATTTTCACAGCCGATGACATTGCAGACAACAAAGGGTTCCCCAGGCGATGTCGGTGCGGTGGCGATATCGAAATTGATTTCGCCAATTCTACGAGTCAAAGGTACAGGAGGTACTACAAATTCACCCTTGCTCAGGTTAATCCAACTTCTTTTGCCAATAATGCGAAAAAACTATGTACGTAGCAATTTATTAGGGACTTATAACCCACCTAAGTTACTGGTCAATGATCCTTATTTTTGGTCAAATAAAAGGATGGAGAGT